TCTTCTTCTTCTTCAAGTCTTGAATCGTGAACGGTTTATTGAACTGAAGGTTAAAACCAGAAATGTTGCTTTCTTAATGTTTCTTCTTTTTTATGACATGGTATTGGGGGATTCCAGGGTATATGACAATTGGAATTTTCCTTAGAATATAACTAAAGTGGAGTTTATGGACAAAAAAGGCTACATGATCCCTATAGTCAGTGCAAAAGTATCACCATGGTCACTTGAATAAATGGCTACATGATCTAGAAAAGAAAACAAAAGACTCTGATTAAGGTCTATATATAGGCATTAATCAGTCTGTAATAAGACAGTAATTTAAGAAATATCAGTTCATATTGATGTGGTCTGTAATCGTCCATAACAAGGTGATGGATATATGTTGAGTGTATTTTGATATTCTTTACATATCTTAATACATTATAAATGCTTACCTTTATATTTAAACATGTACACGGACAATTGTGTTATGTTTGTCATCAAATTTGCTAAATTTCTAATGATGGATAAAGATTTGGGTGAAGTTTTGAAGGAAGACGTTGATAGGTACCGCTAAAAAATGACGACGGAGCAACTGCTGTATGCATCAAGATGGAAGTAGATAGACTATGATGCTTTGTAATAATTTGGATTAGGATGTTGGGAAAGAAAAAACATGTAAAATTTCTTCTTTTGGTTATTAAGCGTTGTTCCTAAATATTGGTGACAATTGATTTGACTATATGTAATCTTCTTTTTTTGTGGCATATCAAATGCTTGGTCACTCTTATTCGGTGTTGAGTTTATTTATAATTCTGGTTGAAGTAAGCAATACAGTGCATAAGTAGACAGTAAAAAGTCCTTAGTGTCTCAGGCGTAGACATTAAATTCATTCAGACGTAAATATAAGTACAAACTTTAGTACAAAAATATGAAGCAACATGAAATTTGATAGATTCAAATGTTGAAATGAAATTTAGATATATTTCTCATGCATATGTACAATACAAATCACATGAATATGAACATAAAGATCTATACATTTCTTTTGAAGACAAAAATAGATGTATGAGTACAATCAACATACTATTGTGTTCGATAAGCATGCACATCAGCAGCCTCATGTCTTCAATTAGCACTTCATTAACCTCTTGTCTTCAATCAACAGGCATGTGAGGCATGTTGATGGTACTATACTTAGTGGGAGTACAGTAACATTGTGCCCATTTCTGAACACCTATCTCATACATACAAAGCTTCCGGAGATTTTTTTCAACAACTTCAAACTCATGTGCAGTAACCTAAAAAGCATATACCAAAGGAAATAACAGTAAGTAAAAATTTATTATGAAAAAAGAAATAAAAAGCAGTTGGAAATAATAGTTCTAAATACTACCTCAGTCCCATTTATATTGTCTTGTAAGAGGGTGACACGGTTATTAAGAAAAGTGGGTTTGTGTGGTTGATATTAATTGATAAAGTAAGAATAAAGTAAGAATGATTTAGAGCCACACAAACTTTGCCAAATATGATATGAGAAAATTTAAGTGAGACTTCCCAAAAAGGTAAAACGGGACAATATATATGGGACGGAGGGAGTAGGTAATTAATTTACCAACATCAATGAGGACTCATGAAAGGTACAAAGCCTGACCTCAAAATGTTCAGAGAGGATGATTTTATTTATTTCTAGCTTTGTGTGAGCAAAACAAACTAAAAGTCTCACACACTTATTGTATGAAATAAAATGAAAGTGACATGACATTATGATTTGTGAATTTAAGGACCATGAACTTAAATAAGATTCCTGCAAGACTGTAATATAATTGTGTCCTCATTTCTTACACCTTGAACACTGATGTAACTATCTATTCTAGCTGAATGTATACACTGCTTTTTATATCTAGGGGTTGGCGTGTGAAACATTTAGATGGTTTGCACGTTATGGACTACATATAATTAGGAAAGTTCCAATCAAAGCAAGAATCAATGGGGTGCACCAGCCACACTATAAATAGTACCTCACTCATGTGTGAAGCAAATCCTTGAGATGTAATCATATCAATACAATCCTTGACTTTGTCTCATTGTTCCAACGCCATGAACATTTATGGACTATTCCAGACGAATCTCACAACATGAACATACTTTGTATTGAGATTAACAAAATCAAACTTGCAAACACTAGACAATACATAGACAATAAGTAGTCAGCAAATAGACAGTAAGTTCCAATAATACCACAATAGCAAAGAAGGTCACAAAAACTCCCTCAACTGACAATTGCCTATCACTTACGTGAGTAAGGTCTTGCTTCACCAGCAATTTTTCAAGAGAGACTTCATGGACGCACTCTTTCATCTACGTTGCCATAGAACCTATTAAGAGAGAACTCTCAAAATCAGCTCAAGCACAATCATAATACACTCATCTCAGCTCAAGAGATACACATTAGATTTGGAGAAGTGATCGCAGATTTGAACGGATCAAGTGAGCGCAGATTTGGACGAATCGACTGAGAGCCCTGGTGAACAATATGTATGCTTCAGAACAATTCGTGGACCATACGAGCACGATCAGATCTGAAGAAGTGAGTACGGATCTGGACGAAAAACTTGAGTTGCAGGTTATTGCGCAAGAACGAAGAATGAAGGAAGAAGAAAGGGTATTGCGGAAGAGATTTGTCGATGCCTCAAGTTATTAGTCTTTAATAAGCAATCTAAAGTGGAGGGTAAAAATGGAATCAAAAATTAAGGCCACTAAAAATAGAACTAAACAAAGCATACGGATGGAAAAAAACTAAGTAGGTTCTAATTATGTAAACTTTGTATGATTTAGTCCTATTTTACACAATTTTCTCATATATCTACCGAGTGTTTTTTCTTTAATCATATATATCGAGTGTTAGTTATTAATCATCTATCTCAAATATCGCCAATTTAGTAAAGTAGCGAATCATATAACGGCTGAATCTTTCAATTTAATGAGATCATCTTTCCTTCATTAGAGTCCAGAACGGGATATGTGAGTATGTGATGTTCACTAATGACACAAAATTATAATTTAAGAAATTGATAAAAAAGAGTGTGAAATTTCAAGAGCATCATATACGTTTTCATTTTCTGGGTAAATAATTAAGCACATTCATTGTCATGCATGCTTAAAGAAATGACTCTCTCTCTCCAATTTAAGGGGTGTCCTCAATTAGGATTTCATAAGATTTTAATGGAATGAGATTTCAATGGAATTCAATGGAATTAGATAGAATCTATAAGATTCTAGTGAAATTCCATGGAATTGGAAATCCTCCCTCCCACACCTAGTTTGTCCGCTTGATTTGTCGATGCAAGCACGAAGCCTGGATTAGACTCTCTTATTTGCCCGCTTCTCCGCTCACCTGCTCCACTGGATCTTGCTTCGCCGCCACAAGATTGGTACTATCGAAGAAATAAAAGAATTGAAAGGAAATGGAAGAAGGGAAGGAAGACCGTTATAGAAGGGAAGGAAGGCAGTTATAGAAGGGATGGAAGGCAGACGATGTTTCAGCTCTCATCCCTACTTCTGATTACTTAAAACATACTCGAAAGTTGTTTTTTACCCGGTAGATGACCATCAATCAAAAGTTGGGGTAAGAGTTGGGAGCACCTTACCTACTATTGATAAAGGAAGAGATACATAGAAGGAGACCATAAAACCAAGCTTACCAAAATATCTTCAAAATTTTAATCATTATCTAAATAATCGTGTAATTTTTTCAGTAAGAAACTTAAGCTGGGATGAAGGTTGCATCAATTATGGCATTAGTCCTTCCTTAATCAAGTATGATAATGTCAAAATATGATAGAAAATTAAGCTTTATTATTCTAACAAACTTGATAAACTTTTAATGGACGAGCAAATATATGACTAACAAACTTAAGTGTGCCTTAAAATTTATATGAGCAATAATTTAACTTAAGGGGAAAATATCATAAAAATAAGTACTACGACGTAACGTACTACGTATTACACATACAATTTTCTCTTATTCCAATTATTTATATAAACGATCTTTTGTTGCCTCGATATGTAACATTGAAATGACTCGAATGATCTTAAAATTGAATATTATGTTAGCTAGGGAGGGGGCCTATTTTAGGTCGTGTTGGGAGCAAAGTTTCACATACAGTTTAGGTGCCAAAATATTACGTACGTGGATCATTATTTGTAAATGATATATTTCATATATATATAAGTGAAGTACCTTGTGGTCTGATGACATCACAGTGACACTCCCAAGAAAGAGGTTACAAGTTCGAATCTCATCTCAGTTCAAGAATGTTGGTATTAACAATGAGCATATACTATTTAGGTTAGAAAGAATTGTCCAAAAAAAAATATTTCATATATAATACTCCCTTTGTCCCAAAAAGATTGTCTAATTTGACTTTTCTTGATCAATGGTGGTCAAGTTTGACCAGTGATATCTTTTAATACAAAATTAATTAAAATATGAAAATTATACGAGCTTATTCTTTATTAAAAAATCTTTCATAAAAGTATAAAATTTATAAATTACACTCAAATATAATACATAAAATCATTATCCAAAATTATTTAAACTATGAAAATTATACGAGCTTATTCTTTAACATCATTGACAAAAAAAAGTCAAATTGATCCATGTTTTTTAGGCGAAGCTAGTATGTCCGCTAGCTTATAACTATAATTAAGGGAAAGTTCCCGAAATAAGACTAAAACAGTTTAAAAATTCCAAAATAGGACTGTCATGTTTTTTATTCCCAAAATAGGAGTAATTACTAACAAGTTTGGAAAATACTGTCATATTTGAAGTCTGGTATTGCCAAAACATGACAATAATTAGTCCTATTTTTGGAATAAAGATATGAAAGTCCTATTTTGGAATTTTCAAACTTTTTTAGTCCTATTTTGGATAATATCTGTATAATTAATTGTATAAGCAGTACTCCGCACTATATATATATTAATTAGGCAGTCCCATTGCATTTCCGAGTAAAATGGACGCTATAGCAAGCACCAAAATGAAGAAACTCCTCCTTTGCCTGAGCTGTATAATCTTAGCCGTTGGGGTGTGCGGCGGTCCTTTGCTCTTACGCCTCTACTTCCTCCGTGGCGGCGACCGGATATGGTTTTCCAGCTGGCTACAAACCTCCGGATTTCCCATTATTTTCATCCCACTTCTCCTATCATATCACCGCCGGCGACGTGGTGGTGAAAGCCCAAAAAACACCACTGCCCTCTTCCAGATTTCTCCGTGTTTATCCATATGCGCAGCCCTAATCGGCGTTCTCCTCGGCGCCGACAACTACGCCTACTCCTATGGCGTGGCGAAGCTTCCGGTGTCAACGTCGTCCCTGGTCACCGCCACTCAGCTCGCCTTCACGGCCGCGTTCGCTTTCCTGCTCGTGAAACAGAAGTTCACGGCCTTTTCCGTCAACGCCGTTGTTTTGTTGACTCTGGGGGCGGTGGTGTTGGGCGTGCATGCCGGAAACGACCGGCCGGCCGGGGAGTCAAAGAATGCGGGTTTGTGTTGACTGTGGCGGCGGCAGCTTTGTATGGGCTGATCCTGCCGTTGGTGGAGCTGAGTTATACGAAGGCAAAACAGACACTTAGCTTCGGTTTAGTGTTGGAATATCAGTTGATTATGGGTTTTGTCGCCACCGTTATTTCGACCATAGGAATGCTTATAAATAAGGATTTTGAGGTACGTACGTATACTATTATCGTTATGTTTTTTCTACGCCCCCCATAAAGTGATTTTTGGCTTATTTGGTTAGCGAGTGATATTTATTTAATAAACCTAAACTTTAACTAATTATAAAGAAATTTGAACCACAAATTCTTTACTTAAAATAGAAAGTGAAAAAGTTAATGGGACATTCAAAAAGAAAATTGGCAAAATTTTAAGATACTGAATTAGTATTTACATCTAAACGTATTTATAGTATGAAAATACTATGAAAATAATTTTTTCATTAAGAATAGCATTTTAAAAGTATAACTACGTACGTTTATAACATTCACAATTTATGTGAGTTAAAGTAGAGAAAATTCTCGTAGTATAACATTCACAATTTATGTGAGTTAAAGTCAGAGAAAATTCCCAAAATCTTCTCGTAGTATAACATTCACAATTTATATGAGTTAAAGTTAGAGAAAATTCCCTAAAAGAACTAAAACATAGTCAAAATGTATAATTAAGACAAATTATTACGGAGTATATTATTTCTAGAATAGGGTTTACTCACTCCTAATTGGGTGAGTCTTATACTTTTAATAGGATTAAATAAGTGCCATTGTGAGAGTTAAAGTAAAACATTAGTAATTCTATATAAGCATTTTGTCTATATTTTAGTTCAATTTTCACCATTATTAGTTAAGTCAAAATGACAAATTAAAAATGAAAATGGGTAGCAGTATTGTAAGAGCATCTCCAATGCTACAATATGCATGGTGCATATGTAGCATGAGAGAGATAGTCACACAAGATTACATTTATGATATTTCTCTAACTCTCTTTCTTTCCACGGTCTTATGTGTTTTTGGTAAGATTTTATCAATAATATCAACTACAATGTCTATATCTAGACATCGGGTTTGACATTGTGGAGAAAGCTTACCAAAAACATATCAACCACAATGTCTATATCTATATGTTGTTTTTTAATTGGCTATCTGTCATGTCATGTCATGTATGCACCGCACCATTCACGTTTTCAAATAGGAGAATCTCAAAGAAATAACTACAAACTTATGACTAAAATAAACATTACATATTTAAAAAAATTCTTTTTTTGGATGAACTGTAAGTAAATTAAAAGAACCACCCAAGAAAACAGAAATTCAGAATGTACAAACAAAAATGGAAACAAAAAATTCTTAATCCTAAGTATAGTAATTATAATAGTAATTTCAATTATAGTAACTTATGTTCATCTTTACACTTAAGTGGACATGACACTTTACTCAAAGCAAGTAAGATTATTCATTTTTGTAAATAAATTTTGTTTAATAATATTTTTGAAAAAACTGTTAATTGTAACTACCCTTACTTAAATTCTATCGAAGTAATTTATGCACGTCTGCTGTCCAGTAATATAATTAATGCAGAGCCCATTTGGTAACACTAAAATCAGCTGTATCGGTTGATTCTGCTAAAATTTATGAAGTTCTGGCTGAAGTGACTGTATTGGTTGATTTTGTTGATTTTGGAAATAATTATATTTACAATATTAAAATAGTTAAAATGATCATCTATAGTAACTTCAGCTAATACAATCAGAAAAGTAACTTCAACATTACTTTTTCTTATTATTACACAATTCAACACGCGAAAGCGAAAAATACGTATTTGACTAAAAAGTTGGCTGATAAGTCTGATAAGGCGAAAAACATAGTCACCAAACGGGCTCGTAAATTTTATTGTGATAATACTCTTTAATATCTGTTATACATTAATATATACATGTAGTGTAACAAAGTCAATATTTTTCAAAGAATAAGTCAATATAAAATGATTCCATCCATGCATACATATTGCAGTAGATAGATCAGATTAGTTCGAAAATAAACCATACAATTTTAGTCAACTTCAAATTGATTTGACGAACGTGAGATGATTATATAAAATTAAACTGGCAAAGGCCAGAACATATTCTAATCCGCAATATATGGAAGCTAGCATAGGTTAATACTCCGTATTTTATAGATATATATCTAGCTAGCTACGTTACTATGAGGCCGTTTGGAACAACTGTTTTTCGGCTTATCAGACTTATCAGCCAACTATTTCACCAAACACGTAACTTTTGCTTTCGCGCGCTGAATTGTGTAATAAGCAGAAAAAGTAACGTTGGAGTTACTTTTCTGGCTGTATAGGCTGAAGTTCTGTAGATGACCATTTTAGCTATTTTTACATATAACTTTTTCTTCATTTTATTAATAAAATATATTTTAAAAATAATTTTGTCTTGAATCAGCATAATCAGCCATTGCAGTCACTTCAGCCAGAACTTCATAAATTTCAGCAGAAACAGCCAAATCAGCCAGTACTACAGTATGTTACATCATCACCAACTGAAACTCATAAAATGACCACTCCAATGTTACATCATCAGCAATTGGGAAAACTGTCAAATAGGTCCTCGAACTTTCATAAAAAAGTCAATTAAGTCCTTCTATAGGAGACTTTGCCCGGTCATCGCGATTTGGGGCGATTCCCGGTGGAATTTTTTGATGAATTTTTTTGAGCTTCTCATTCATCAAGCCTAGTTTACTCATACCAAATTTTAGCTAAAAATTTAATTGGGAGCGCATTCAAATTAATTCGACAACGCAAAAATGCGCAGTTATCTTCAAGAATTAATTTGAATGTGTTCCCGATTGAATTTTTAGCTGAAATTTGGTAAAGTAAACTAGACTTGGTGAATAAGATGCTCAAAAAATTTCATCAAAAAAATTCCACCGGGAACTTCCCCAAATCGCGACGGCCGGACAAAACCTCCTATAGAAGGACTTAATTGACCTTTTTATGAAAGTTCGAGGACCTATTTGATAGTTTTCCCTCAGCAATTTTATACTTATTCGATTATTTTGTATTTAAGTGCGGTATTTCATCTTTATTTATCTTTAAGTCATACATTAAAAAATTCCAATTGAAAAAATTAAAAGTCATCATATTTAGTGAGAGGACCTAGTATATGCTTTAATACTCCGTATTCATTAGAAACGATGGGAGTAAAATAGTACATGTTTCTTTACTGTTTCAGTCTCTCTTCTTCAATGCATCATCTCCTAATGAACTACACCACATGCCAACTCTACACTCGATCTATGTGGCTTTCAAAAGATCCGACGTTTGCACTACCGAGTAATAAATTTAATAAGAGTGAATTACCTGATTACAAGAGAGTGAAAAATCACAAATAAGATTATATTGTTTTAAATTCTCCGCATTTTCATAAAAATGGCATTTTTATGAAAATTAACATTTTTTTGATTGATTGGAGATGGTGGTGCTGGGAGGCGGTGGGAAAGGTATCCATATTTTTAAATTTTTTGAATGTGGTTTTACAATTTTTTATTAAATATTTTAAATTTCTTTTGAAAATTTTATTTTATAAATATTTTTATTCTTTTTTTTTAACAATATTCTATTTTTTTTACGATTTTATTATGAATTAAAACACTTCATCATGAAATAAATCATTTCATCATGAATTGAAACATTTCATGTTGAATTAATACTCTTAGGGGTATTTTATATTTATTACTTCCTCTGTTCCTTTTTAGTTGCAATATTTCCTTTTTCACGCTTGTCAATGCATAACAACTTTGACCGTCATTATATTTAATTATCTAATACAAATGAAAGTTTGTAATGAGACAAATTCAAAAATATTTTTCAAAAATAATAATTCATAAATATTAATGTTGATACGGAGGATAGTAGTAAGTATTTAGGACAATTTTTAATTTATAATTATGTATTCTTCGATCTCAGGAATTCCATCTTTATCAATAATATTCTATACAATATTGATGCATTTGAAAAATTACTCAAATGCTTAAATGACTCATTAAGAGCATAAACTATAATAAAAGTGTGTCCACATAAAAGAACTCAGTGACTCGATCAGTCGTATAACCAACTTTGGGTTTGGAAATGGGGGAAGTTCGTGTTAAGTTTAGAGATTAAAATTCTCTAAACAGTACTAAAATAAAGATAAAATCCATAAATTGGGATATCATTGTTTTATTTTAAAAAAATAGTCACTCCTGTTTTAGGACGAAATAAGTCTTATTTAGAGAATAAAAGATACTCTCTCGTCTTCCCTTAAAATTTTGTCTAGTTTTACTGGCGCTGAAAGTAATAATTAACGTAAAAGGTGTGTGGTTGAAGCTTGTGTAGATAATCTAGAATTGATAAGAACCACAAATTAATTGATTATAAAAGAACGTGACAAAATTTTATAGACAAAAAAAAAGGAAAGATGACATAAAAAATTGATTGATTAAGTATATTTAATCATATTTTTGAAATTTATATATGTTTGGTTCTATATACAACTAATTTTGTTTAAGCTAAGATATAGGCTTACTGGTAGGGGTGGGTCGGTAAAGCCGAAAACCGAATTGAAAAAACCCGAATCGCAACCAAAACACCTGAACATCAAGAAAACCGAAACCGAACTCAAAAACCTGAACCAAACCGTAGTTGTTTGGTTTCGGTTTTGGTTTCACTTCTCAAAATCGAACCGAACCGAACTAACCGAACATGTTAAAAATATGTTATTTTATTTATTAATCATTAAGTATAATATATTAACATCTTGTTTAGTTCTTAATTTTAAGTCTAGAACATTAGTGTTTGATACTAGATTTATTATGATTTGCAAGATATTGAAATTTGATATTTATGGCTTTATTAAGTCTATTGCTATAATACTAATATGTTGATATTTTAAATCGTAATTTAAATTTGATTGTTATTGCATGACAATGATAATTTGTTGATATATTATTCGTTATCAACAAATAATATGTGTTTGTTCTCACATAATTTTTATATTGAGCAAATATGTAAAATATAAACTACAATTTAAACAACATAGTAGAAAAAGTGAAACTTTTGAGCATAAATCTCTTTTTGTAAAAAGAAATGTACTATTAATAAAAATCTTTAGCAAAAAAGGAAATAAATTATTGAACACAACATTTACAAAAACTTTTAGCTTGCGGATACACTATTTATAGATCGCAAATAAAGTTATGCGTTAAATTAATTTATAAAATGTTTAATAATATACTCCCTCCGGTTTTTAATAAACTTCACACTTTCCTTTTTGGGACGGTCTAAAATAAACTTCACACTTCCTTATTTCCTTTTTTGGCAAAGAAATCTACATCAAAACAGTGCCAAACAGTGCCAAACAGTGTCTCAACAGTGCCAAACAGTGTCTCTACAGTGCCAAACAGTGTCAAACAGTGCCTCAACAGTGTACTCTACAGTAAAGTCAAATTTCTTTCCTTATTTTGTGTGAAGTCAAACTGTGAAGATTAAAAAAAAACGGAGGTAGTACAATATTAATTACTTCATTGCTTGAAAATGCATTCTTCTCACTTTTTTTTAATTATGTTTTTGTATTGATAATAAAAAAAATTATGTTTTTGTATTGTATTGCTATTATTTATAAATTGATGAAGTCTATTTTTCATTTACCATTGGTTTTTTTAATAAAAAAAATTGGTAAAAATCTGAAAAAATCGAAACCGAACCGAAATAAATCGAACCGGACAAACGATAGTTCCAAAATTTTGAACATAAAACCGAACCGAACCGAACTTTTTACTGTGGCTCGGCATTTGGTTTTCAGTGAAAACCAAACATTTTGACAGAACCCACCCCTACTTACTAGCTGCTCTAGAAATCAAATTATCCATCCACACATGCATTCAAGACCATCCGAATCTTTAGAAGGACACATACTCATTAATTACAGCTAGATTGAAAAAATATTAGACAATTTTGATTAAAGGATTATATTTAATTACTTTAGTCATAATACGAGTATATCTTTTAATGTTTTAATGTTCATGTTTTTTGAACGATTTTAATGTTCATATTTTAAAAGACACTAAAGTAGATTTCCTGAACAAATAAAATAATTATTCTAAATAGGAGTAAAACAGCACAAATATATTATGAAAAATTACGGAGTGTATTTTATTTTCAAAACGAGACTTATTCCATTCCATTAAAAGGATGACACTTTCTCAATTATAAATGATTAAATGAATGAGTCATATTTAAGAAGAAAATAATACGGAGTAATAATCTTAATTGTGTGTGATGGAGTATATGGCCCGGGAACCCCCGACCAACAGACTCCTACTTCTCCCACACAGACCCATCAAGCCCAATGATCCCACGAAGCCCGTACACAGCGGCCCGAGTGTTAGGAAGCCCACATCGCACATATGGGCGCCCTCGGCTCTATGGCCGAGGGCTCCAAATTCCACAGGATGGCCAGATTCGAGCATACAACGCTACTGGGAGGAAAAGGCAGAAAAAGGAGCCTTCGGCTCCCAGACCCCTTCGGCACATATGTAGCCTTCGGCTACACAGAGCCTTCGGCCACACAGAGCCTCCGGCCACAGAGGAGCCCTCAGCTACAGCACGTCCAGCGAAGATTCCCTTTGGGGACTGGCAACAACCGCATTTAATGCGGCGTCAAGTCCAACCACCGCATTTAATGCGGTGCACATGCATATGCCGGTGCCACCCCGATTGAGGTGACCCCTCGGCCGTTAGATCGTTGACACGTGTACTCCCATCGCATTTATGGCTGCTATAAATAGCAGCCCTTATTCTCCTTGTAAAGCACGCTGAGATCATTTAATACATCTGACTCTCTCTCTTACTTGCTTGCTCTGACCTCTCTCTAGTTATTCTACGCAATAACCCCTAGGATAAGCTACCCTCGGGTACATTATCCATCGGTGTGTTTATGGTTTACTTATGAGTAAAGGGTCGGTTTGGTGTTTGAAGTTGCATAAAAGGGGTCAAATAAGTCCTTATATAGGAGAATTTATCTGGCCGTCGCCATTTGGAGCGGTTCCCGGTGGATTTTTTTGATTAATTTTTTTGAGCATCTTATTCATTAAGTCTAGTTTACTCATACCAAATTTCAGATAAAAATTCAATCGGGAGGACATTCAAATGAATTCTTGAAGATAACTGTGCAGTTAAAAGCGCAGTTATCTTTAAAAATTCGTTTAAATGCCTTCCCGGTTGAAGTTTTAGCTGAAACTTGGTATGAGTAAACTAGACTTAATGAATAAGATTCTCAAAAAATATCATCAAAAAATTCCATCGGGAACCACCTCAAATGGCATGTCCGGACATAATTTTCTATATACGGACTTATTTGACCCCTTTTATGCAACTTCGAGTACCGAACTGACCTTTACCTCGTTTACTTATATTTAAGGAATTTTCTTAACAAATAAAAAAGGCGTTATATGTACATTATATCCAAGATTATATTTGTAAAGTTTTGGATCATCTAAATGGGTAGCAGTACTATATAATCCTATAGTAGTTAATGCATGCATGCATGCCCTATAATCCACGACACTATAGAAATATTTGGTTGATGATTAATTTAATTAATTAACAGGCAATTCCAAGGGAGGCAGGAGATAGTGAGCTTGGTGAAGTCAAATTCTACATATTAATAGTAGGGAGCGTGATCGTGTGGCAATTCTTCTTCGTCGGAGCCGTCGGAGTGATTTCCTTCGGCTCATCATTGCTCTCCGGCGTCATAATCACCGTCCTCCTCCCCGTCACGGAGGTCTTCGCCGTCATCTTCTACCATGAGAAGTTCCAAGCGGAGAAGGGGATCTCCCTCTTCCTCTCCATATGGGGTTTTGTGTCTTATACCTATGGAGAGATTAAGCAAATGAAAAAACCTAAACAGCTTCCCTTTTCGGTAGAGACACAGATGATGACGTCAACTTCTACAGCTGTCGTGCCGTCCAACCAAACCGTTTAATGTAGTACTCCGTAATTATTAGTAGTGGGTATCTAACGTAAGTGTATTTGTATCAGTGCATGCATGTTAGTTCATTCCGTAGTATTTTTTTATACAATGGCTGGAATAATTAATTTTTGTTTCAAATGGATAAAGAAAATTAATGTGTCCCATGTTTACTCTCTGTCTGTTGAGATCATGAAGCATCTTTTTCACATAATTAATAAGAGAGGGGCCATCATATCATACGAAGTACTTATTCCCTCTTTTCGCCAAATTGACTTTTCTTGGTCTATGACAATCAACTTGATCAATGATATCTTTTAATACGAAATTATTTAGAATATGAAACTTATATCAAAATGTTCCTTATTCAAAATATTTTCATAAAAGTATAGAATTTATATATTATATACAAATATAATATTTAAAATCATTGCCCAAGAAAAGTCAATATGGCGAACCTTTTCGAGACGGATGTAGTAATATACTACATATTGTTCTCACAATGTAAAAAAACTTACGTGATTGACACAGATTTGACACGAAATTGTGCATGATTTCATGCTAAATAGCTCGTGCCCAAGAGCTTTTGGCATGAATTTGATGTATCTATGTCAAGTCCTCTATGAATTTGGAAAATCTCTGTAAAAAATCATTTTCAATCCCGTGCTTTTTTGTAGTGTCAAATTCTATTAAAATCTCCGTCCCCTTGGCCATACATGCTACAACAAATTATGAGATTGACAAGGATTTGGAGCGGATCAATCGATGAGTTCATGACGAATAGCCTGTGGTTTTTTTAATATGGATTTGGTGTATCAATGTCAAATCGTCTATACATTTTTGGTGAATCCATGTTAAAAATCTTTGTCAATCCCATGTTTTTTGTAGTATGGGTATCATGATTTGATTGTAAGGATAAATGTAGTATCTAGTCTCTTTTTTCTAATGTAACCATAGATTAAATATACTCCAATGTTTATCCACAACTCCTTATTTATTTAAAAGAAATTATCCCAAATGGGACTAAAACATGGTTAAAACTCCAAAATAGGACTTGAAGTTTTAAATTGCTTAAATGGGACTCCAGATTACAATTTTGCCCTTCTACAATTAAAACCCCCATCCCCTGCAATTCATCGAAACCCTCCCCTGCAATGCATCGATCCCCCTTCTCCAATTCATCGATCCCCCCTTCTGTAATTCATCGATCCCTCTACTCTTTCTGCAATTCATCGATCGTTCTCCCCCTTCCGCTCATCCCTTCTTCCCATGGAAAGCAGCTTCGGCATCGGCTATTGCCACGCACCGCAGCTCTGTCATCGACCATAGGTATCCCCTCTTCTTCTTCTTCTTCTTCTTCTAAGAAGAAGAAGAAGAAGAAGAAGAAGAAGAAGAAGAAGAAGAAGAAGAAGAAGAAGAAGAAGAAGAAGAAGAAGAAGAAGAAGAAGAAGAGGAAGAAGAAGAGGAAGAAGAAGAGGAAGAAGAAGAGGAAGAAGAAGAGGAAGAAGAAGAGGAAGAAGAAGAGGAAGAAGAAGAGGAAGAAGAAGAGGAAGAAGAAGAGGAAGAAGAAGAGGAAGAAGAAGAGGAAGAAGAAGAGGAAGAAGAAGAGGAAGAAGAAGAAGAAGAAGAAGAAGAAGAAGAAGAAGAAGAAGAAGAAGAAGAAGAAGAAGAAGAAGACATTACCTAGCTGGTCGCCGATGAGTCATGAGTGCAGGGCTGGTAGCCGATGATACAGGGCTACGACACACGGCGCTGAGGTGCTCTAGAGGTATCTATGGAGGTATCGCCGGTGTGCATCGCTGCTTTTTAACTAAGGGTAGTTTTGTCAGATTACCTCTTTTTAGTCCTATTTTTGTTAAATAAAACATAGTAGTCCTATTTTTGCAATTCTACCTTGTTTTAGTCCTATTTAGGTAAATCTCTCTTTATTTAATCACTTATGTATAAGGAAACCTTAAGTACGTTCAAGCTAGTAGGAGCTCATTTTGACAAATTAACATTCTCAAATAAAAATAAGGTGACAACTTTGGGACCTTTCTAAAATATGGGGTACCGTACCTATCATTCATTTGATTGAACCACATCACTTTATCATTTTTAATTTAGATTTAAATAATTCAACTGCTACATTCTCATTGGTCCATGTGGACAAAGGTATGGTACCTTATGGGTACCATAGAATCTACCTAAAAATAAAAGTAAAGCTCTGATCTAATGATAACTGATAAGATATACAGAGTATGATCTAAAACTTTGCTTCAAATCAATCATTTAAGTAATTAGGTTGCTCTTATTTCATAACCTTTGACGAAATAAAGTTTATTCTTTATGAATTCAATTCTCGAGCATGTTTGAATTGGTAAGCCCTAATTGCCTTATTTGAGTGTCGATCTGATCAACGGCAATTATTTATGTCTTCACTAAATACTACGAGTAGTTATATTGAAGCAAGTTCGGTTTTGGCAAAACATAGTCCGTTATGTCTTATTTGAGTGTTGATCTGATCAACTGCAATTATTTAAGCAATTATTTATGTCTTCACTAAATACTACTCTCTCTTTCCTGGAAACAAGATCCCGGATTGACTTTCACACATTTTTAGGAAATAAAGTTACTGAGGGGTAAATTTCATTGTTTCGACACTGTTTGGCACTGTTTTGCACTGTTTGACACTGTTTTGATGTAGTATAACTTTCCACTTAGGAAAATGGGATGTTTATTTTGGGACATTCAAATAAAAAAAGTGAGAACTTGTCTGCAGGACGGAGGTAGTAGTTATATTGAAGCAAGTTCGGTTTTGGCAAAACATAGTCCGTTTGTCTGAAATTTCTCAAAACGAGAAATATGACCTAAAGCAATATGACTACAATACGAGAATTGTGTTTTTTCTGCTCAAACTATATTCTCATATTTCGGCATAACAATGCAATAATATTGCGAAATCATTGCCACTTGATATTATTTTCTAAATATCACAATAATTACTTCAATTTTAAGGAATATAGCACTTGTATTTTGAAATTTCACATTTAAGGCAATTTCTATTAGACATTTTCCTTCAATTATCTAACATTTATGTAAAATATTACATCATAATGATAATAAGAAAGATATGACATATCTTTCTAAAAAAGGTGAAATTCATAAGAATAATCCTTACTTTTAGGGATTCTACAATAATAATCTCTACTCATGCACACTGTCTACAAAAATAATCCGAACTAGCAAATGTGCTCATAAGAATAAATTGGAGTGACTTCAAATTAATGTCCGTTTAATACTCACAATCCTTACTATTCTTTTCGGGACAAATTCAAAGTGAAATCCATTTAATATCAATAGATAGGGATTGAGAGTATTGAATAGGCATTATTTTGATTTAATTCTAAATTATTCTTATTGACACTATTGCTAGTATGTATTATTTTTATAGACACTCTCAATTGGGATGATTATTGTAGAATGCATAAAATTAGGGATTATTCTTTTGAATTTCGCCAAAAAAAAATAGATATGACATATCATGACCACATTATTTATTTAACGTTTGTTACATTTTAAAGCATATAAAAGTGAAACTCTTACTATTTTTAATATTGTTATATATTAATAATTAAGAGCTCGTTTGGTAATACTCAAATTGGAGATCGTATACCGTGGTATCACCCCACGGTGAGCACCGTGCTCCCACACCCACAATGACGTAGTTTTGCACAATTTTTAAAAAATAATTCGCGTAAACAGTACACGCATGTACAATGACTGTTTTTTTGCCCCAGTAGTATGAATGATGTAACTCGCGTGTAAAGATATGTAACTCACGTTATTGATCAATGTAACTCAAGTCCATTCGTAATGTAACTTATCAAATACATACTATAAGAAATAAAACATTGATTTCAATGCAAACAATAAAAAAGAGTAATGACGGGCACTTTGTGACGGTGCGTCAAAATAAATTCAATACTAACACTTATACGTAGTATAACGTAGTAGAGTTCGTATCCACATGGAAAGGAATAATTCTCTTTTTATAAAACTAGTAAATAAAAGGGGGGTTTAGGATTGAATGATTTAATTTAATTAAACACAAAGATGAACAACTTATATGTGATTTAATTCAAAGATAAAAAGGACTTGGCATTGCTACTTTCCACTTGTTGATATATTTTACTCGATCATTGTTATATCTATAACTTATCCCCTCTCGAATACTCAATCGAGGAGTATATCCAATTCATCGAGGGTAGTTATTAACTCCTGGATGAAATCAATTGAGATTGATAACCTCAACACAACGGTTTTGGTTTAACCAACAAAATTATTCCCTCTTAATTTTATTAACCATGATCGTGCATTAATAAACAGAAGTTACTTACTTGTGAAACCATCAACGATTAACAAGCATATTCGTCGATCGATTCTAGTAATAATTAATAAATGAAACAAAACTAGTTGATCCTTTAAGTAATGTTCAAAATATTAACATGAAATATGAATAGGAATTAATTAATATTCAAGGAAGAATATTAAAGATGATAAATCCTACTATAACTAATGTCAAGATGTTAACTAATTGTCATCTTAGCAACACTCCCCAACATTAATATATAGAGGAAGAAAATAAATACTACTATAACTAATGTCGAGATGTTAACTAATTGTCATCTTAGCGACACTCCCCAACATTAATATATAGATAGATTAAAATAAGAATTAATATTCAAGGGAAGAAGTTAAGAAAATAACTCACAACTTTAATAATCAACAAGCTTCAAGAGCAACACCAAGAAATGGAAGTTTATCTCCTCATTTGGAGACTACACATGCTATAAAAATATAAAAGAAATACTATTCTAAGTTGAGCTTAAGAGTATGGAAGAAGGAGTGATCTTATTGTGAAGGAAAAGGGGTGTATTTATAGGTGTTTGGAGGTGACAGGGTGGTGTACCCGACCGGGTATATAGGGTACCCGATCGGGTATTTTAGGCAGTTTCCCGGAAAATGACTTTTTGGGACATACCCGGTCGGGTATGTTGGCATACCCGGTCGGGTATGTTGGCATACCCGGTTGGGTATGAGCCAAAAAG